CCCACACTCATATGAGTAGACCTTACGTTTCCACTAAATTTCACATAGCCTTGCTTTACCAAAAGGTATTCTCGTCCAGGCAGGAGGAGGGCACAGTTTCGATCTCCCCTTGACTGGTCTCATCAGCACCCCAAGTGAAACTCGAACCATGACATCTCAGTGTATGATCTATACACGTTAACCGCTACGTCACATTTCCACGAGTGATCTAGGCTGTCAGGGCAGATGTGACTTTCAAGAAAGACCAGACATTTTCGCATATCACAAAAGTATAACTACTATAGCAAGGGACTTTGGATGAAATGCGTCCAAATAGGTCACTCTGACAATTATTTGTTTCGTTTTTAAGTAATACTTGCGTGTATGTGGGTAGGTAAAACAGAACGTTACATCAGTTCAAATGTATCCTTTGCTTTCGGAATTATGCGATCATTCGGATCGAGCACTTTCACACGAAATGGAAGTTATCATAACAATGTCGGCTCGGTGAAGTCATATAAGTCCAATTAAACTTCGTAAAAAAATGTACAGAACCAATGAAAATGCCGTATTTATATATGCAAAATGAATGTATTCCTTTCTGACAGTCGTTTTTTAACAATATTTCTACAAGTCAAATAATATCTGCTTCGTATTGATAACTGCTTACCACCTACAGCGGAGGCCAGGCTCCAGACATTCGGTGCATTTTGTTGAAGAGAAAGAGAGATCTGTGCAAATAGAGGATGAGACTACCTGATGCAGGGGCTGGTTGAAGACAGAATGCTCAAGGCGGGATTAGATGCCTTAATACATTGCTTTAGTCAAAGTTAAATAGCGCAAGTTCGAGGGGCAACATTGTTTTCTTGACTATCCTCGTGGGTTGCGTCGTGTTATTGCTTCAGGGTGTTTGTTGATTAAGCAGTTTGATGAGAGGCTAGATTAAAAATATTGGCTTGGGTGCTATCAAGAGCTTTGACTCACTATTTCCAGAATTCTAATTTGCATCCAATGCACATGTGCCGGCCTGCAAGAAGTGACCTGGCAACTGGGATATACAGAAGTGAGCAAAACAGCAAAATGCTCCTTCTTAAGTTGACATGTGGAAAAAAGGTGTTGCTGGCGCCTTTTTAGAGCAAACTTGTTCGGGAAATACAAAAATGATTGGACGAACTGAGAGGATGAGGGCAACAAAATTAATGTTGCAACTCGTCTTTTGTGAAGAGAAAATTTGTGTCCGGTGTCCTGAACAGCCGGCTAGACGGGTTCAGTGCCAGAGCAGCGCCATCAGTGGTGGTACCAAAGCCGCTTGGCCGGAATCTGGAGTTTCCGGTCCATCGAACGGATGGCTGGGCCTGCGATACCGACCCTCGAATGAGGAAGATAGGAGGCTGTGAATATCGTCCTATCGACGAAGTTCTGGAGCGAAAAGCGACACTCTTCTGTCCGCTTTTTGAGACGACGCATCTGCCGCCGCGGACAATTCCGGCGTCCGGCTGGTGGACGTCTGCCCTGGCCTGCAGATATCGCCTCGTCCGGTCTGTCTGGTATGGCCAGACGCGGAATCTGCAATAAGCCTAGGGTCTGGAGGAGTCTCGTTGGTCGGCTCGTCCAACCGCAACTTGGCCCGACAGATGCGTGTCGCTGACTCTCCGTGTACACTCTCGCTTTGCTCGCTGTCACGCCCACGGTGATTGGGCCGGTTTCTGTGCAACTGATGTCGCAACATGTGTGTTGTCAAGCCGGCAGAACCGAAGCGTTGAGACGTCATGACCTTCAAACGGTTGACTTTTGTCGGGGCTGAAGGCGGTGGATCAAGAAGATGTCGGCGGTGCGGCTGGTGCGTCAGCCCCATTTCGTCCAGACCTGTTAAACATTTGTCTACTGGCAGCGGAAAAAAATGAGAAAATTTGTATGTTAATGAATCTTTTCATTTATGATTGTTGAACTCGTTTTCCTTATAATTACAAAGTGTGCGTGAAGAAGAGATTCAAATGTCAATCCCACCAGAAGACGAAGCTTAGTTCTGGATTTTTCTTCTGACTCTGTCTCTGAGGCGATCTCCTTCGATATTCATAGGAAGCTGGTTTCTAGACTAACAGGAAATTTTCAATAAGAGTTGCAGAAACCCTAAGACATTTAAATTGATGAAGGATTGATTGTTGCATTTTGCTACAAATATCTGAT